CAGATCAATGGATAAAGAAGATGTGGTATATATCTATAATGGAATACTATGCAGCCATCAAAAATTGAAATCCTGCCCTTTGCAACGGCATGGATAGAACTAGAGTAAACTAAATCAGAAGAAGACAATCACCATATGATTTCACTCATATGTGGGATTTAAGAAACAAAGCAGAGGATCCTAGGGGAAGGGAGGGAAAAATAAAAGAAGATGAAGTCAGAGAGGGAGACAAACCATAAGAGACTCTAAATCATAGGCAACAAACTGAGGGTTACTGGAGGTGAGGGGGGTGAGGGGATAGGGTAACCGGGTGATGGGCATTAAGGAGGGCCTGTGCTGTAATGAGCACTGGGTAGGAGACTGATGAATCACTAACTCCACCTCTGAAACTAATAATATGCTATATGTTAATTAATTGAATTTAAATTAAAAAAAATAATTTTTTCTTTTAAAAAGGCCACAGTGTCACTGGAGACCACTTGGCCACGTGCTCTAGTTTCAGCATCGCCTCAGCTCCGCGGCCCTGAGCTGGGGCAGAGACAGCAGCCGAGCCAGCATCCGCATGGCTCTCTCTGGCTTCCAAGGGGTAAAGGCTGCTTCGCGTGTGGGCTGCCCTGGGCGTGTCTTTCCCGCAGATGCCGTGAAGCGGCGTGTTCTTCACCAGCTGAGCAGTTCTGCCAAAGAGACAGACCCAAGGGGCATGTTCCTACTGCTGGCTCTTACCCACAGACATACCCATGCCTTAATTTTCACCCCAGCTTCCTCATGACGTGTGTGTGTACACATGGCCTGGCCCATCAGCCACTGGAGTCCAGAACCCAGTCATGCTCATGAACTCACGGGGAGGAGCAGGAGTCTAAGACAGTGCCCGGCTTTCCTCTGAGACAGCGCTTTCTTAGCGTGCTTGTCCATGTGGTTTCTTTCTTTGCTCTTTTATGTGACATGCGGGGCAACTTGGGAAAAAAAAATGTTCAAACAAGACAGACGCTTTAAATGGCCCGGTCAGGACTGCCTGCAAAGTCACACCCATGCACACATGCGTGTGTGTACACATGTGTGGAACAGGGAGAGATGGTGAGAGTGTCTGGGCATCCTCTTCCAAGCTTCTGTTTCTCTTACTAATGGTGAGGCTTAGGAGAATTCTAATTGGAAAGAAAGGTTAGTGTTGGGACACCTGATAAAAGTGACCTTTAGCCAAAGAGTGGCTTATGTTTTTCAGACTGTCTGCAGGGAAAGCCTGTCTAAAAGGCAAGTGGCATTTTTTTTCTAATCAAGGTGACATTTATACCTTGAACCTTTCCATTTGACAGATGCCAAGAAGCCAACAGAGAAGAATCTTTGATCAGTGATGAAATGATTCTACCTTGCCACAAATACCCGGCGTGGCAGGAGCAGTCACAAATTAGAAAATAACCTTTGAGGATCTACTCTGTGCTGCCCACTCTGTGCTGGGCTGTGGGATCTAGAGGTGACAGGACAGAGGAGTTCCCTGGCCTTGAGGGTTTGAAGGGCCAGATGGGACGTCGGACACTGAGCCATAATTACAAGTGTGATGTGTCCGGGAGGAGATGGGCTACCAGAGTCTATGAAGGAGAGGTCAGGTAGGGAAGGGTCTCCAAATGGCTTCCCACGGAAGCCTCCTAGGGCTGAGACTTGACAAGGGAGCAGGGGCTGGTGAGGCAGGGCATGGGAAGAGCTTGCAGTAGAGAGTGCGGGCTTAAACAGGAACGCACTGGACGGGAAGGGCTGGCATGGGGAGGGCAGAGTGAAGTGAGAAGCCAGGGAGGAACACAGGGATGGCCCACGCTGAGCCTTACTGAGCACAGTAGGTATTTTGTACTTCATCCTAAGAAGCATAGGTGCTTATTGAAGGCTGAAAACCCAGGCAATGATCTGTTCATCACTTGGCTACCTGGGGGGTGATGAAGCCCGGCTGGGGGCATCAACACAGTCTAGGGAAGAGAGGACGGCACCCGAACTAGGATAATCACCATGGAAATGGGAAGGAGGGGGTTTGAGAAGGCAGAATAGTAGCACTTGGTGATGGGTTGCTGAGTGAGGTCAGGGACGGAAAGGAATCTGGATGCCTCTCAGGACAGCGCTGTCACTCTTGGCGATGGGGGGCCCTGGAAGAGAGGCAGGGAGGGGCCAGCGAAGAGTCCAAGTTTGGCATGGGCCATGTTAGACATGAGTCACCCAAGAAACACCCAAGAGGAGAGGTCAAGAAGGAGACACTCTTGGGACCCCACAGAGGGTCTAGGTGGAGAGGCACGGGAGCCTTGGTGGCGGCAGGGGTTAACTGCCTTCGCCAAGAAGAGCGGGGCCTGGAAGGAAGCCCTGTGTCCCCCACACAGTGCACCTGTTCCTGGGTGAGAAGGACTGGAAGGTCGAGGGGTGAAGCTGGAAAGCAGGAGAGCACACTGTTATTCAAAGCAAGGAAGGCAGGTGTTTCTAAAGGAGGGTTGGGGAGTTATGTTGAATGAGGCTGAGTTTTCTTTCTGAAGAAAAAAAAAAAGCTGACTTTGTTGCCTCTTGATTACAAATCTCCCCACTGCTTTCAAAAGTCTAAACTCCTTATCCTGGACACCAGGCCTCTCACACACGACTGTCGATCTATAGCCCAGACTTCTCCTTGGCTTCTCCCTGGCCGGTGAAGTCTGCCCAGCAGCCGCGCTGACGGGCCCTCTGCGGACACTGTAGATAGATGCATCCTTGCCCTTCCAGCATTCGTCCTCCAACACATCAGCTTTTGCCTGCAGATCTGCCCCACTTCTACCCCATTCAGTCCATGGAGTTCTGAGGTCACCACGGCAGCCCTTGGTGTGGGGCAGGTGGCCCAGGCCCGCCCTGATCAGTGCTTTGCCCTCCGTGGAGCCACTGACTTGGGGAGAGGACAGGAAATGGGACTGAGTTGGTCCGATCAGAGTGAATCTCCAGAGAGTTCTGGTACAAGGCCTAATGTTCCTTTCTGGGAGCTCAGGTCTGCAAGGATGCAGCCCCAGGAGTGTCAGCAGCCATGTGCGGACCAGGGGAGAAAAGCTGGCCTGAGAACTTGGCTAACACACGAGAGAGAGCAGAGCTGGGGGATGAGGTGCCTGGGTCTGGTGACACTGTTTGAGCCTCGCTTTCAGCTGGGCTGGAAGCCAGAGTGGATCTGGACTTTTGAGTTGTAGGAGCCAGTGAATGTCCTTTCCTTCTTGTTTTTGTTTGGGATCAGGTTTCCTGTCACTTGTGACAGAATGGAATCCATGAACCCCAGCAACATAAACATGCTATTCCTGTGAGGCAGAGTGTTTCCTCGTGGCTCTGCCAGAGTCACTGGAATGTGCTTCTCAGGACAGCCTTCTTGGATCCCTCTGGACTGTCATCCCTGCTCTGTCCTTCCTCAGAGTCTGGTATGATCACATGTTCCCTCTGCTTCCCCAAGAGCCTCAGGCCCGGGATAATGTCTTACTTTTATATCCCTGACACCTCACACTGTCTGATGCATAAGAGTCACTTATCAAATGTTTCCTGAGTGAATGAGTGAACAAATGAATTATAAGCAAAAGTTCGATATTGAGATATAGGAAGATCCTGAAGACAGAGGGGTAAATGGTTAAAAAGATACTCAAACCAATGAAAAATTAAGCGCACCGTCTCCAGGATTGGTCAAGCACATTTTCAAAACGCCATTATTTTAATTATGGAAATGGCCTCTCAAAAATGAAAAAGAAGCAAAGCATGTCCCTTGCTCCCAGATAGAATAAATTCATGTCGCTATGTTACATCAAAAATAACTTCACAGAATCTGGTATTCAAAGCTCATTAGGTCAGGTTGGCTGATTTCATCCCACACCGAAACAGTCCTTGGCACCTAACGAGCAGGGCCCGTCGTTCAGGCCCCGGCCTGGCTTCAATGCTGTTAGATGTCTTCGGAAGACATCCAGAGCAAGCAGAGGTTACCGTGGTAACAAGCAAGGGAAGGGGGAGCTGGCTGTCATCTACAAGATGAGGGCTGCATACGGGAAGTGCCGATAAGCCGAGGAAACAACACGAGTCTTCCCCACTCAGAGCGGCTACTGGACGTTCAGGTGCCGAACACAGAGCCGGCTGAACATCCAAGAAGGAGGCTTTGCACTCCCAAGAAAATGTTCCTGAGGCCTGAAACAGGCTGTTTATATTCTTCTAAGGAGTGTTTCCCAAATTAAGTTTGGATTTAGCTCTTAATTGAACAGAGAGACACTTCGAAATCCAAATATTGTGGAGACGGCTTTCCTCTTTTGGCACTCACCACCTCCCACTGCCTTGTGCAGATATATACGTCTGCACGGACACGTGTGCATATATATGGGGTAGACTGAAACCCACTGAAATATGTAGAGCATGGAGCTCAGTGCAGCACATATTCCCTGTATCGCAATCCTTGATTTATGCTTTGGGTTTGAAATGCTTAAGAGAATGCTATAAAGACTTCATTTTTTTAGCAGCGAATTTCTTTTTTTTTTTTTAATTTTTTTAAAGATTTTTTTAAATTTATTTATTCGACAGAGAGAGATCACAAGTAGACAGAGAGGCAGGCAGAGAGAGAGAGAGAGAGAGAGAGGGAAGCAGGCTCCCTGCTGAGCAGAGAGCCCGATGCGGGACTCGATCCCAGGACCCTGAGATCATGACCTGAGCCGAAGGCAGCGGCTTAACCCACTGAGCCACCCAGGCGCCCCATTAGCGGCGAATTTCTAATGATCCAACCACTTGATTCAAAATTAAAGCAGGCTTATGGATATTGTGATGCTAATCTGGGGGTAATTGGTGTTTTCAAAGATGTTTTATCTGCTCTTCCTGTTCGAAAATCTAGGATGAACCATGATTTGAGGCCCTTTGTTCTTTCTGTTAATAATTAGCTGTCAGAACTGAAACTCGAGAGACCAGCACATGGAATTCAGGAAACCCAGTGCAAAGCCCGCAGGAGAGGAGAATGACCAGCAGAGAAGGGCTGTGAGGGACTGCCGGGCACGTGGTACCTGATCTGATTTTCCTCGTCGTCCACCAGGAAGAACCAGCGGAACTTCACCAGCAAGGGGCTGCAGTTGGTGATCGTCATGTATCGAATGACCTCGGTGTCGTTCAGGATACAGCCGAAATCCAGCTCCGTGGTCTCAAAGCTGAGGTTGGGGTAGTTCACTTCCCCCCGCAGGTTCAGGCTGTCTACTTGGGGGTGCTCTATGTATTTGATCGCTAGAATCTCTTCTGCCACCCAGTTGTTCAAATCATTTCTGTAGGAAGGGTCGAATTTGACCAGCAACTTTTTTTCTCCATCAATCTCCAGTTTAAGGGGCTACAAGCAAGATAATGAGGAATTACTAACTTTTGTACTGTGCATTTCCAACAAGCTCCATGAAACAGGATAACCAAAGTGATCTATATGAATTCATATACATACACAAACACAGAAGCACACATCTGTACACACAGATTAGTATGAAATGCATATATATCCACACTTTTTTGGTCCCTAATTATATGTTCACACCTATGCATAATTAAATAGCTAGTATATCTAAATCTATGTAGATATCTATACTATATCGATAACTATAGGTATTTTATATACATAAATGCACACACATATTTTATTAGTTGGAAACAAAAGCAAGGAGAATCTGGATAAGAATCATCTGAAGGAAAGGATTTTGGTAATAGTTATGGAGTGACAAGAATTGAGGAGTTGCAAAAGGGAAAGTCTGCAATGAATAACTATTACAAAATACTCTTAACTGAAAATGAATTAGATTTTAAAATGCTCTTCCTAGACAAGTGGGGAAAAATCTGCTGCTTAAGAAATGTTTAAAAAGCCTTCTACAGCCCTGGGGGAGGGGCTCTGGAGCAGGTGACCCAGAAAGGGATGGATGAGGCAATTTAATTTCTTTACTCCTGTCTGCAATTCTAACTCTTAAGCACAGTGTTAGCTACTTTCTGCTGTTTTCCATTCAACTTAAAATGACACTCGGGAGCTTGGCAGAGTTTGTTTAGTGGACGGTGTTTATCCTTTTCTCTCTCTGATGCAAATCCCCATGTGTTCCTTGCCGCCAAGGCCGCTGGAACACCTTAGGATACAAAGCCTGGCTTCCAGTTGGCTTTCCCAGGAGTTGCTCAGTTCCCACAGTTAATACGCAGGAAAGGCACCTCCTGGTTTTGCAGAAAGTGCCCCGAGGCAGTCAGAGGCAGGACTGAGTGTTTTACAGAGCTCTTGCCTCTCTGCGGAGTTGGGAGTTCGAGGGTTCAGGTCTTTCCCTGTGTACCTCAGTGTGACAGGATTAGATGGCTTCAGTGGCTAAAGCCAATCACCTGACTCAAGAACCAGAGGAAGGGCAGGGACCATTCAGTCAGCTCATCCCATCCGCCGAGCACTGCGGCCACCTGTGCGGGTGGCCAGGGCACACCGACAGCACATTCCTGCGGCTGCCACCATGTCCAGCACTAGTGACTGCGATGCCTGCCATTTCAGTATCTTCGAAGATCGACTTAAAGGCTTTCTCCCCTTTGTCGTTTCGTAGAAACGATACACAGCTGCAGAAGGCTGCATTATGTGTAAAAGCACAAAGAGGAGAAAGGAGAAACTCATCTACAATGTCACCACATATTATTTCTCAGAGTTAACGTTTTTTAAACATGAGTCCAGACAGAACGGATGGGTAAATATGATTTTTACAAAAAATGAAATTAGACTAATTTATTTTTTTTAAGTATTTGGGTTTTTCCTAAAAACAAAAACAAAAACAAAACAAAACAAAAAAACCACCTGAAAAAAAATATTCTGACTCTGGAGCCAGACTGCTTGGGTCCAAATCTGGCTTCTGCCAGTTACCAGGTCTGTGAATTTGAGGAAAGCTGCCTAGCCTTCCTAGACCTCAGCTTCTCTATCTGTGAAATAGGGGTAATAACAGTCCCTAGTTTTTTTTTAAGAGGCTAAAATGAGTTAATATTTATGTAATGTGTTCAGAGCAGTGCCTGGCACACAGTGCAAGTATGGTATATGAAAGCCGATTACTACTAGTATCCTTTTATGATCAAGAAGATAGCTAAATATTAAGCAGTTTCAAATTTAGATAATAGCTTACCGATGCCGCCTGTAAAAAGGAAGGAAATATCAACACACTTCTGCTCCCTGCATCTCCCAGTTTTTAGTGGCTGTAGTGTTCCTTTTTAAATGTAGAGCTTTCAAACATTCTGTTCCCAAGTCATAACCACCAAAGTCGTGTAGTCTCAGTTCTACAGTTAAATGGGCTCAGTGCTTCCCACCAGTCTTTCCCTTAGAGGGTTTTCCATTGCCAAGTGCTTTATTCGGTTCTTCTCCTGCATTGTATGTTCTTTCTCCTGTTGTGTTTCATTGGCCCCAGTTGTCTGAATGCTGTGTTCATTGATTCTCGCATTCTGAGAGTGTCTGCCTGTTGTCTTCACACTCAAAAGACAGTAGCTGGGTTGCTCTTTCTTGGAAAACTCTGTAGTAATTGCTCCCTTGTCATCTGGCATTAAGTATTATCATGGAGAAGTCTGTGCTGAGTCTAAACTCCTCCCTTGACGGGCCCTTTCTTTTCTGCTTAGAGACCATAGAACTCTTTGGGTCTCAGTAAGACCAGGAACTTCACTAAGATATGTCTCCCTGTTGAATATTTCATAACATTCTGTCCCAGGACAAGGTATGGACTTACTTTAAAAAATCAAAACCTCTTATTCAAGCCAACTAGTTCCCCTCCCCTGAAGTAACCAAGGTCACAAGCATGTTGCTTATCCTTGTTGGAGATAGTGTATGAATAGATAATCATGTTCATGCATGTATTTTTAAAAAAAATTTTATACACATGAGAGCACACTGTGCACTCCTGTTCCACAACTTGCTTTTTCCACTGGGAGATCACCCATCAGTGCATATGGAGTTGCCTTGTAGCAGCATTTTATTCTATCATAAAATTCTGCCAACATTGACTTAACCAATCTCCTACTGATAGATATTGGCTCCCAATATTTTGCTCTTATTATCAATGCCGCAATGAATATTCTTGCTGAAGGGTAAATTCAGCTGAAGGGTAAATTCTTAGCAATAGAAGAAGTAGGTCAAAGGGTATGGGCATTTAAAATTTTAAATTAAAATTTAAAATTTAAATTTTAACAGCTGTAGCCATATCACCTGATGTATAACTTCCCCAACACTGTTTCCACATGCCTTCCCAACACAGAAAACTACCCAATTTTTGCTCTTTGCTAATCTGATAGGAAAAAAATGTGTTTCATCATAATTTGAATTTCATTTCTTCTAATGTAATTAAAGTTGAGCACATTTTCATGTTTAAGAACTGCTTTATTTTTCTTTCGGTGAACTCTGTTCATTTTCCTGGTCTATTTTCCTAATGGGCTGTTGGTATTTTTCCTATTGATTTGTAGGGGCTCTTTATTTTTTTAAACCGTACATATGCTTTTATTAAAGTTATATATGCAAATAATATGAAAGGTCAGACTGCGCTTTAAGAGTTACAACAAGAAGTGGTAGTTCCTGACCCAACCTGGCATCCCAACAATCCAGAGGCTGTCATGTCTCAATTTGTATTATAGGGCTGGTCCACAGAACAGCTTCCTTGGGCAGAGACGGGATGATCAAGTTGTGGACATACCCCAGATGCCAGGCATAATGCTGAAGGGGTGAAACTCACACTAGAAACATTAAATTTCCCCTGACATTTTTATCAATTTCTCTGGGAAAGAGCACGTATCTTTAGGTCTTAGGATAAGAGCCAGCTGCCCATATTTTTTGTGTGGGGTCAGGAGGGACAGCTGTCTAGTGCATGTGGAATTCCTCTATTTCTAGTGCTTGCTTCACATTTCTTACCTCTGAGCTCAGGCTATTTAGGCTGAATGACTCCAACATCTTTGAGATTTCACTGGAGAATTTTCTAGAATGCAGGTTTTTGTGGCTTTTTGTCAACCCATTCCATCCTCACTCTCTCTTCCAGAATTTGTTCAAATCTCTCATTATTTGGTTATCTCTATCCTCTTCTCACTTGATTTTATTGTTCTGGGCTTCTTTCCTTCTGATCATTTTTACTTTTATCTTAAGGTTTCAGGAAGGACAAGAGAGTGGGTCTGATCTACCACCCAGACTGAGAAAGCTGGTCATGTCTGAATTTTCATTTTGTCATCCCACTTGTTCTCCTTTGCTCTGAGTTTAGTCTTTGTCTCCACTTAGAACACTTGTATCTCATCTTTAAGTTGTTTTATTTTTTTTTAAAGATAGGTCATACCATCTATCATTTCTTTGAGACTGTACAGAACATTTATACTTTTGGTCTTCTTCCTTGTGTAGGTTCCCTGGCAGTAGGTTTTTCTTCTGCCTCTTCTGTCTTTTATTCCTCTGTTCAAAGATCTTAGCTGTTTTTTTCTCCAGCTCAGGCTTGAAGGTAACCCAGTAAAGAATTGGGGGTGGGGAGGGGAGTGTGGTCATGCAGTTTACAGCCACCAGCTGGGTACAGTAGGCAATACTCCCCCTAAGCAGTTCTGTCCCCCCTGCTCCCCCCAGGATCCATTTCCCTGAGTGAGTCTCACAGCAAATCTTCAGTCATAGGTTCCCTCTTCTGAGATCGCACTGTCACTGCCTGGCCTCCCTTCCTCCTTTATGTCACTCCTTCATGAGCTGTCTCCCTAGCCAGGGAAGCTGAGCACAGTGGTGTGCGGATCTGGCTTCTCCTTCCCTCCTTCCCTACGGCTCTTCCGTGCTACCTGCCCTATGGCCTGGCCATTTCCACTGGCATCCTCTGGTTCCACTGGTTCCAGCAAAGAACCATGGCGGTGATCCTGTAGGGATATTTAGAGAACACTGAGTCCTGACTCAGACCGGGGGCTCAGTAAGCTCACAGCCTTCTCCTTCAGCCCGGTTTGGATTTCTTAGTATCTGGAGATGGGCTCTCTGGTCTAGGGACTGGTTTTAGCTACTTCCCTGTTGGCTAGAGTAGGGAGCTTTGGTCCGATTTGAGAAAGTAGAATTAAAAGATCTCTATTGTCATCAGTGGGAAGTCACTGTTTTCTGGAGATTCCAATAGGCAGGAATGAAGGGTCATCATAATGAGCCAAAGTTCTTACACTGTTAATAATAGTTAGGTTGACATCAGAGTTTATGACATTTAAAAGTTTCTATATTCTTCCCTCTTTGTTTCTTGAATTCTTTCTATTTGTCTAGACGGAAATTAGATAGTATACTGACATTGTTCTCTTCCTTTGTCACACAACAACTCTCCCAGGAGCTCGTTAGGACAGCCTTCTGTCAACTTACCTCAGGAATTAGTGGCAGGGGAGATTTATCAGTCTCGCAGATAAAGAAGGGTCCGCTTGTTGAAAGTAACACATTCACGGGCAGAGTGGAAATGTTCTTTATAACCAAGGGCTGGTAATCAGGTTCCAGGATAGTGTTAGGTTTCTGCAAAAGAGGAAAAAGAGGAAAGCGAGTTATGGCAAAAATAGTAAGCCTTTAGCAGCCAAAGTCTCATGTTCATTGTTAACAGTAAAATTAGCATTCCCTACCCATCCTTGCTCTCTGCCTTTTTCTCTTGAACGGATTTAAATAAATCATTTGGAATTTATAGTGGACTACTGATAAATGAACTTACGTAAGCCAGAAAACACGGATTAGATTTCTTACTCTTGTCACCAGGGTAAACACACCTATTCAAGCCATGCCTCTGGATAGTACTGTTACTATAGGCTTCTAGTATCATAAAACAAAATTTAATAAATTAGTGATATCTTGTAGAAGAACCCTGCCCCATTATAATGAACAGAATATTTTCCTTATATGATATTTCTTCTATGCTTAAAATATCCAATTTGCAAAAATTTATATGTTTGCAATATATTGTTACAGTGACAAATGGTCACAACCATTTCCTGTACATTTTTCCTGGTAAGACTGGGATAGTTGATTTAGAAGCTTCTTTTCACTTTCTTAGACACATCAAATTTAGTTTTTCAACTGGAGAAAGCATCAGAAATGGATCTTTAGCTGAACATTTTTCTCATTCTGATGTGGGAGCCCATGTTATTTCTCATGTGCTGTGGAAAGGGTATCCTTTAATATCAGCAGGAGGCAACCACAAGCTCAGTCTCCGGGTTCCGAAGAGAGCCTCCCACCAATCGTGCCCACAACTCTAGCCTGTTTTCACCAGGCCTCATTGTTTTGATTTGCTTTTTCTCCTTGTTCCAATTTCAGTTAAATCCTTCTGATTGTATATTTTGGTCAGACTCTGTCCCTGCTTCTTTGTTTGACACAGTCTTCCTTCTGCTGTGGTCCCTGTCCCCTGGTTCTAGCTCTGAGAGGTTCGGGGAACCAGAGCCGGTGATGTCTCTGTCAGTCTGGGCTGCTATAATGAATGTCTAGACAGGGTGCTTTAAGCAACAGACATTTATGTCTCAGAGTTCTGGAGGCTAGAAAGTCCAAGATCAAGGTGCCAGCAGATCTGGTGTCTGGCTTAGACGGCTGTCTTCTCACATGGCTGAGAAGGAGATCATCTCTCTTGTCTCGAATTTCAGGGCACTCATCCCATTCCTGAGGGCTCTGTCTTCACGACTTCATTATCTCCCAAAGGCCTCCACCTCCAGCATCATCACACTGGGGATTAGGAGTTCAGTCTATGAATCTGGGGTCGGGGGCTCGGGGGGACACAAACATTCAGTGTTTAACAGCTGGCTTAAGCCTCCTCTGCCTTAGCTGTACTCCACTGGTCCCCTGTGCACGCCCAGAGTTCTTTCAGGGGTTCAGTCTGGCACTTGGCGTGAGATGCCGGCCATTGTTTCCCTCCCTCTAATACAGGTACTGACTTCACCTTGTATTTGCAGATGATATAATACAGTTTGGGGAAGAGATGAAGCAGCACCTTGGGGCCATACAAAGGCTAACCACCCAGTGACCTTCCTTCAGACAGCTCTGTCACCTCAGGAAGCCGTGACGCAAAGAAGCCATACTTGGTTGGTTTTGGCAATAGGCCATTTAGAGGTTAGCGATGAGAAGGAGTCAATACACACAGAGCCATTCTATTTTAAAATGACCCCTTCTCTCTGGGTTGTTTGTCTCCCCACATATCAGGAGACAGAATTTGCTGCTGGACTTCATGAAGCAAACTGGCTGCTACTTTCAGTTGATCTTTTCAATTCCACAGAGATGTGGCTTCATCTGTGTGGTTATGAATGGTACCACAGTTATAAAGTGGATCAAATCTGAGGAAATGGTTATAGAAGAACTCTTCTCATAGGCAGGGCTGGTATCGTCAGAGTCTAACGTCCTAAATCAGGCCCACTGCCTTGAGCCCCCAAAGAGGCAGGACAGATAATTGGGTGTTACATGATTAACTTGGAACGCCAACACCAACAGGCCTCTTGTGCCTGCTGGGTAATAAAGTTGCATTTCTTCATTGTCCCTGATATGGCTTACATGTGAGTGGGAAATAATGAAAAACACAGTAGTTGAACAAAGTTCACAATTATGATATTTGGGGGGAAGAAGAGAAGGGCAAAAACAAACGAATTCAGAGTTATGATAATTTGTTTCTTAATTCAATAAGTCGCTGCCATATTCAAAATATTTGCTCTTTTATTCTAGTGATAACAGAGATTTAAACAAGAATTAAAAAAAAAACCAAGGCTTAAGGATATAAAAAGAAGGAAAGGAACACTATGCACACATTTTTATGAGTGTTTATAGGCTCACACACACACAAAAAACTAATAAGAAACCAGGCTGCATATTTAACATACACTATAATGTCTTGCATAAAATATTCAATAAATATTCCCTGAATTTTCTCTGAATAACCAAATTTAGAGGAAATGCAATGCCACTGAATTTGGTGCAGCTGTTGCCAATAAATATCTCTCCTGATTACTTTAAAAGGAAAATTTTAAGATAGAGCAATGAAAACATAATAACTAAACAGGAACTCGTGTAGTATTAATTTTTACATATCTCATAGAGCTTGTCACAGTTGACCATCCTGTAGCTGAAACTCCTATTCTACTTCTTCAAAATCTACTTTCCCCACTAGCCTATTAAGCCAGGGTTTTGCTGGGTCTTTGCTGCCATAAGATGTAAGTGCCCCAAAATTATCTGTTGGCTTGAAGTGAACTTGTACACCTGCCCTCCCCTCCTTGATTATAAGCTCCCTTATTCATCTCCTAGCAGAGCACTTAATCTATGGTGGATGCTCAAGAGATGTTTAATATGAACAAAATATAATGGAATCCACTACCAGAAACAATGGTCTTGAACATTCTCTTGCGAGTCTCCAGGTAACAAAAGGATTCCTGGTGGATTGCCCCATAATCAGTTAGGCACTGCCAAACTTAGTCCATCTGTAGGACACCACGTCAGGACCTAACTTTGATTACATATGTTCCACACTATGGAACAACAGCTTAATTAATACTTAGTTTTCCCAGTTGGCTGTGAGGTTCATCTGGGAGGGACTATTCTCACTGTTCTATCCCTAGTCTCAACACAGTGCCTGATATGTGGTAGGCCTTGATAAATATTCCATTAGGCAGCCAGTATGACTGTTCCAATGGATAAATCTGACCATGTCACTCCTCTTCCTGCCTATAGCCCTCCAATGGCCACCTAGAACAAAACCCGAAGTTGAGAACATGCCTCCCAGTCATGCCAAACTCATCTGGCCTCTGCCCATTTTCTCTAGATGGACCTCCTGGGCACATTCTCTAAGGTGACCGTTCAGTTCTGTATACTCCCAACCTCTTTCCTAACTCAGGCCCTTTGTATGTGCTGTTCCCTCTGCTTGTGATTCTCTGCCCTGCCCTCGTCACCAGACTAACTTCTATTTCTCCTTCAAGTCTCAGTGTGAGGCCCTTGCTGAAGGAAGCCCTCTGTGACCACATGTACAAATAAAGCTATGTCTCCAAGACATGTTCTCACAGAGCCTTTTAACTCTTTTCCATGGCACTGTTTAAAATTGAATCTTAAACAAATAATTTTAATAATTTGTTTAGTCTGTAACCTCAACCAGTCTCTTACCTTTGACTATGTCAGGCTGGTTCACCAGATTTCTAGCACCAATACAGTCCTCAGCTTGGAAGAGATATTCTCTACGTCTCTGGTTTGGATTTTACATAATTCTAGGATGTAAGTCTGCCTAGGAATAGGCAACATCCTGCTGTGATGTGTCGCCCACCTCCTCACCATCCTGACCCCCTGCACCAAGCAGCGACCATTCCTAGCTTCTCCCATCTTCTGCCTTCGCCATTCACTGCATGTCCCTAATGGCCACATAAAGTCATGGGCATTTATAGCCACATAAATTAGAGTGTGAATCTGTTTAAGTTGATAATTCTCAGGCGGTATTAGGTGATCTGCATAACAGCTTAACTTCCATCTCCATTTCCTCACACGTGTGATGGGAATGACAACAGAAACTACAGCACAGATTGTCGTGAGGAAACAGCTGGGAAAGTGCATGTGAGAAGCACAGCTTGACGCCACTGGATACCATTCAGTTAAGTGGTGGCTATTCTTTTTTTTTTTTCCCTCAAATTTTTATTTAAATTCTAGTTATTTAACATACAGTGCAATATTGATTTCTGGAGTAGAATTCAGTGATTGATCACTTACATACAACACCCAGTGTTCCTCAGAAGTGCCCTCCTTAATGCCCATCACCCATCCAGCCCATCCCCTACCCACCTCCCTCCAGCAACCCTTAGTTTGTTCCCTGTCATTAACAGTCTGTTCCAGTTTGTTTCCCTCTCTTCTTCTTTTCCCCCTCTGATATGTTCATCTGTTTTCTTAGATTCCACATATGAAATCACATGGTATCTGTCTTCCTCTAACTGACTTATTTCACTTAGCATAATACACTCTAGCTCCATCTGTGTCTTCATGAATGGCAAGATTTCATTCTTTTTGATGGCTGAGTAATATTCTACTATATCTATCGCATCTTTAACCATTCATCATTTGATGGACATTTGGGCTCTCTCCATAGTTCAGCTACTGTTGATTATGCTGCTATAAACACTGGGGTGTGTATACCTTTTCAAATCTGCATTTTTGTATCCTTTGGGTAAATATCCAGTAGTGCAATTGCTGGATCATAGGGTAGCTCTAGTGTTATTTTTGAGGAATCACCATTCTGTTTTCCAGAGTGGCTGTACCAGCTTGCATTCCCACCAACAGTGTAAGAGGGTTCCCCTTTCTTCTCACCCTCACCAACACCTGTTGTTTCTTGCGTTAGTTTGAGCTGTTCTGACTGGTGTGAGGTGGCATTTCATTGTGGTTTTGATCAGTATTTCCCTGATGCTGAGCGATGTTGGGCATATTTTGTTTTGTCTGTTAGTCATCTGGATGTGTTTTTTTGCAGAAGTGTCTATTCATGTCTTCTGCCCATGTCTTAACTGGATTATTTGTTCTTTGGGTGTTGAGTTTGATAAGTTCCTTACAGATTTTGGATACTAACCCTTTATCAGATATGTCATTTGCAAATACAGGCTGCCTTTTAGTTTTGTGAATCCTTCCTTTGCTGTGCAGAAGCTTTATATCTTGATGAAGTCCCAACAGTTTATGTTTCCTTTTGTTTCCCTCGCCTCCGGCGATGTGTCTAGTAAGAAATTACTACGGCTGAGGTCAAAGAGGTTGCTAGTGGCACCTATTCCTACTGATTATAATTATCAATAATTCTACTCCAACCCTTTCTATACTGTGATGTTTATTTAATCTAGTAGAGTAAAAAGATCAACTAGAATGCATTTTCAGTGTGCTGGAATACCCCTTCACTTACTTCGGTCTTCTAAATCAGGAATGATGGAAGTAGAATTTCCATCGCAATTTACATTTCAGAGGAATGTAGGTTTAGATTCAGAAGTTTTAATTCAATGTGTATTGGCCTCTGAAGCTTAAAAAACGCTGGCTGGGGGTGGGTGTCAACAGTCTTCCCATTAATTTAGCTTCCAAAATGAAAATGTGAACATGCTGCCCCTCCCCGACCCACCCTGGACAGCAAGCCGCACTGACCTTCTCCAGTCGGTATATGAGCTGTTTTGTGGACAGCTGGATAAGCGGCGCTATAAACTCACAGAGGATATTCACAGTCATCACCAAGCTCTTCCCCTTTTGTGCCCCGATCATGGCATGGCACACCAGCTTTTCTTTGACTTTCTGTAGAGGAGATACACCAGCACTTTTGGAATATCCATTGCTCCGAAAACTTATTTCTCAACAATCAGCAAGCTAATTCTCAACTACCTGCCTGGAAACCCCAGGGAAAAAGCACATTCTTCTGAGCGGTGCATTTCAGGGATTGCTCTCTGTCACACTATTATTAAAGTCTGATTGGCCGACTATGTCCTGGGTGGATCCCGTGTTGGTTTCTGACTGCTCCTGAGGACACAACTGATTTACATTCAGTTTAACATGTATTATGTATCAGGATGGTTAGGGACTGGACATACAGAAGAGTGGCAGATGAGGCAGGTAAAATCCATCCTGGGCTTAAAGTTCAATGGTAGATACAAGATTTCTTATCAAGCTAGCCAGGAGCTACGGCTAGAAAAATGTTGCCTTTCATTCTTGAGTATTTAAAAATCATGCTATAGAAACCAATATTTCTTTGGACCCAAGAGGCCCAGATTTTCATAAAGTACAAAGGGTTTAGAGTGAAGTGATATCTCAAATAGTTTATACTGAAGAATATTCAGGTTTTGGATGTTAATGAATTTAAGTCTCTTCTCAATTATGTACTACAATTATGTACTACAACAGGGAAGAACATTCTGGGAAGCTTTTAGTAAATCTAAACTGAATTTAGAATCCCAGCTGCTCAGATTTAATGCCTTTAAAAATATGATCAGCTCTCAAGAACAACACTGTAGATGTGCTCCCACAACAGACTGCCAGTGTCTTGAGATGAGGGGCTGCATTCTAGCCATCATGCAGCCTCACTGCCTAGCACAGTGTTTGTTGTGGGGTACATACTTGGTAAAAGTTGGCTGAATCCCTGAATATCAGAAAGAAAGAGCACATTATTCACTCCACGATGGGAAATAATCTTTTCATTTTTGCACTGAGGATGTGTTTTGCCTGAAAATGCTCTGTGAAGAAAGAATGTAAAGGAGGTAAAGGTCCGTGACCCAAGAGGAGCTAAGGCAAAGGACGGGCTTTCTCATCTTGTCTGCTGGGAGACCAATTTCTCCCCTTTCCTATTGCGTGAGGAAAAAGTTCAGTATCACCTCCTACTTTAGTGACACCAGCAGGAGCTCAAGCATGATCATCTCACATCCACAGAGCCTGCGTTTGTGAGGTAGAAGAGGCTCAGGTGTGATTTAGGACATTTCTTTTATTTTTTTGATGGTTTCCAATTTCTATGAGGGAATACGAATAAACAGACAATGATTTGGAACAGCTTAAATGTTTAAAGCAGAATAGTGATGATATAAATATGAGCAGGACATCAAAGCTGATGATAACTCAGCTTTTTAATTGACAAGCAAAACAATGATGGTTATAAATAGGAAACTGTTGTGTCAGGTTGAGAGGGAAGGGACCAAGGATGTCCCAATCCCTAGATAGGAGAGTTGCCTGAGAGTGTCTCTAAAAACATCCTTTTTGAAGAAATGTGAAATTAATATTGCTTAGTGTTGAGAGGAGGCTTAGCTTTGGCTGAACGCTGGCTATCCCTCTGCCAGAGACTTGCTGGCTGGTCCCTGCTGACCCTGGGGAGGAGAACCTACTTGAAATGGCAGTGTAAGGTTGAACTCATGGTAGCTATAGAAACAAACAGAAAACTGAGCAGAGCTGAACCCTGAGAGCAATGGGTGCTGCCATGGTAACTCCGTGCTGTGTGAAAGGAGCAACCACATCCTTTCTTCAGATGAATGTCAAGGGACTCTCCTAAGAAATAGAGCAAAGATTTATTTAGGGGAAAAATAGCTTCTAAATGTGCTATCCTCTTACCCTGGGAGTAGCAGAATAGCCTTCGAGTATCACGTCGATCGTCTGGTCAGGGTACAGCTCCATTCTGACGGGATGGAGCTGAAACACGGGGCCCAGGGGCGCCCTGGACTCCTGGGAGCCCTGAGGTTGGGGCTGGCTCTTAGCAAGACCCTTCTTAGCCAGGCCCTTCTTGCTCAGCTTGCCCTGTGGACAAAAATCTTCATTCATCCAGAACAACTGTTGGACCCGACGTCCTTTGTTGGTCAACTTGAAGCGGTAATAGTAGGTGTCCAGGCTGGAAAAGAGGAGGCAGGGGTTGAGAGCACTCAGCGTTGGGGTGTTCTGTTCAGTTTTCCACACTTGGGATTTACTCCTCTGAAAGTATTTTAAAAAAGAGTAAAGAAATGGACATTATTTTTTTTTTTTTTTAATTTAGGAAGGCTACATGATGAGGCTATGAGGAGGCACCACAGTAATGGGACAGGTTTATGTCCATTAAAACATAATGGAGTCCACAGCCTTGAGTCCGGCACCTGGGTCTGGTCCCTGAGTTGCCATCACCAGGGAAGGGGCACAGAACACAGACACAGTATGTGAGAAAACCACTCTAATTTATGAGAAATGATTCTGAGGAGTGAAAGGAAGGCAAAATACCTCCTGGAGGAGAAATACATTTCAACACCTGTTGAGTAAATTTCCACTGACTGAGCAAAATACCTTGTGATGTGCTCAACTTGAAGGGCACTTGGAAGAGAAACCACACATACCCAGCAAGCCCGGCCAGAACTCAAGGGGACTGTATGATGGACCACAACCTCAGCTGGATTAGTCATTTTTCCCAGACTAGTCCTTTAAAAATGCTGCTATTTCATTCATGAATTCATTTCTTCATTCATTCATCTATACTATAAATATTTATAAAGAACCTCTTGATTGGCTCTTTGTGAGACACTGGGATTTCTAAGACCTTGGCTCAAACATAATTTTGTTTAGTATTTTTTAAAAAACTGATTTAGGGGCACTTGGGTAGCTCAGTTGATTAATCTGCCTTTATCTCAGCATCTGCCTTCAGCTCAGGTCATGATCCCAGGGTCCTGGGATCAAGTCCCATATTAGGCTCCCTACTCAGTGGGGAACCTGCTTCTCCCTCTCCTCCCTGCTTATGTTCTCTGTTGCTATCTCTGTATCTTTTTCTCAAATAAATATATAAAATCCTAGAAACATAAAAATAAAATAAAATAATGGATTTATAAACTTACTTAAAATTTTTTTTCCCCCAGGGAGAAAACTCATCTTAGAATGGAGGACTTTTTTATTTTTAAAATTTTATCAGGCTTTGAGACTTCATCTCCTCTGTTTCTCATTACAAATAGCATCATATCTAATAAGTAAGTTGAAGCATCAGATAAATAATGAGTATTTGCCAGCTGTCAGGTGTAACCATTTCTATCTAAATATGTGTCCACAGAGTATGTTTACTACAGCAGCTTGACTTCATGGTTAAGTCCAGGCTTTAGGGAAATAAATAATACAAACTATTTATAAAGCAGGCAGTGTCTCTGTCACTTGTACATGGTAGGTGTATCTTTCATCCTCACAGCAACCCAGTAATAATAAGTATATCTTCTCCCATCTTATAGGTAAAGAAATAGAAGCTCTGAAAATTTAAGGGCGTTGCCCCAATATACGCAACCAGAAGAGGCGCCATATGGGTTTTTCTTCAGACAATTACATTCAAAAAAGTTGGCCAACTGTTTCTGTAAAGAGATGAATAATAAATACTTCAGACTTTGTGGGCCATGTGGTCTGTCACGACAACTCAATTCTCCATTGTAGTGTGAAAGGAGCCCCAGAAAATGTCTGTGTAGGAATGGGCATGGCTCTGTGCCAGTAAGACTGCATTTACAGGAGCAGGCAGTGGGCTGCTGTTTGCCCACCCCTGCTTTTGAGGCTTCTCCTGGAGGTTGCTGGCATCATGATTTTATGGTGAAAAGAGTAACAGCAGGGTTTGTCCAGAGAAGAAATTGGCAGCTAAAAGCTGCTGTTTGCTTCTGCATTCATAGACAACTATTAGCTAACCCTCCATTTCTAGGCAAGTGTCAGAAAATCCTCGGGGGCTATCTGACACTATTTGGAGACTAAGGAGAACATGTAATTAAGTCTGGCATGCAGTGTATTGTTTTCTATAATTATATTTGAGTGCACTTAACAAGAAATTTGGAAATAGAAGCATAGTACGCAATGACAAAATGCCCTAGCTTATGGCCACTAGATGGGTGGAGAGGAGTATTTTTATACCTAGTTGACACAAAAACTGTAATTGGATGCTTCTCTGAAAACATGTGCAACTCAACGATCTGACTCACCTGTTACTTCATGCCTATTGGTTAATGTAGTTTCAATCAAGTGTCCTGTGTTGTAGATGGAACAGAGGAAAAGGGGTGTGGATGGGCTTTTGGGGAGGGTCCCTAACTGATTTTTGTCAGGCACATCCTCTATAAGTATAGCGTGTCCATCTTGGTTTCAAGGCCTGTTACACCAGCCAGGAGCACCCCTCTGAGATCTGTTCACAGTATTGCCACAGACAGGCCAGATTCAGCTGGCCCCCAAGAGCCCACTAGCAGCAGCCATGTGACTTCTCTGGGGAGCCATGAATAAACCCCCATATATATCCTCCCCTGTTAAATACCAGAAAAATTACCAGTCTTGCAATAACTGATAATATACATTTTTAATCTTCCAAGTTATACTCTACTCAGGTCACCACCGAGTTGCGTCTGTTTTTTTACATTCATGGAGAGGAATTAGCAGTGCATTGGAATTGAAGAGGAGACATCATGGCTGAGATTCTAAATTTGTCACAAAGAAGCCACAATATGTTTGAGAGAAAAAGGAACTTCCAGAATTCTCTTCTCTAGTGTGGAGGGATACAGCTTGGAGAACTCCACTACGCTGTGCCTAGGAAATGTCTTCTGACAGATGATGTACCCATTTGGAGGGAGATTAAAGACAGGAAAAGGGAGGGGAGGCTAAAGACGCTAGTTCTATTTACTTAAAATAGTTTTTCAGGGTGTCTGGGTGGCTCTGTGGGTTAAGCCTCTGCCTTTGGCTCAGGTCATAATCTCAGGGTCCTGGGATCAAGTCCTGCATCGGGCTCTCTGTTCAGCACAGAGCCTGCTTCTCCCTTTCTCTTTCTCTGCCTGCCTCTCTATCTACTTGTGATCTCTCTCTGTCAAATAAATAAATAAAATCTTTAAAAAGAAATAAAAGTTTTTCAAGGTAGAGGAGATGCTCAGCTAATGCAACATCTCTAGTATCTGTAAGAATCAATCCAGGAAGTCTCCCTACCTAAAATGTGCTCCCAAATTGAGTTCTGGAGCAAATGGCTTATCTGAGACAATGGTGGAACCAACTCCAGAAGCCTGGACAGGAATCCGGTAAGTGCTGCTATTTTCTATGTCCAAGATGACCGTGTCTTTGAATGTCAGGATGTCGTTCACGTTGGCCTTCAGTGTCAGCTGAAGATCGGTTTCCGGGGGAACCATGCCCTCACTGGGTTCAACTGTCCACAGGGACTTTTTGTGTGCCTGCAACACAAGACTACAAGTTAACAGTGAAGATATTCTTGGCTTCTCATTCTGCTCATGTCAAAGCTCTCTAGACTTCAAATGGCTGGCACTGCACATCAGAGACAAACATTATTTTTTTGAATCAAAGCAGCTGGGTGTTTGTTGGCTTTTCTTTTTTTCAAAAAGCAATCTGAAAAAAAAAAAAGCAATCTGATTCTGAAGAGCAAACCTACAATTCCACTTTTGAATGCTCTGTGAAGATTCTTTATATCTCTTTGTTCTCTAGCAAGCTTATACTAATGATCTGCTCTAATCTCCAAATTCTGAGATACCAACAGAAGGTACAGCATCTTTCCTGGAATCTGTAATTTTTAAAACAAATGTTTTTCAAGGGCAAAGTTTCTATGATGTTATAGTGAGGATGAACAACTTTCATTAATGAACACAATACAGGAAGTTTTGATATATATTATTTCATAATAATCAATGGAATTTCATTTGCTAATATTTCAAACTCATTTTGAAATACATGACAGGACTCATTAATAGAGTTGAAAGTGATGTCCACCAATCTATTTCCGTTAACCACTTAGACTCTCATAGCTCACTCTTTCCTCCCTAAGGTCTTTGGCCAAATGACACCTCTCAATGAAATCTACTCTGCCCATCACATTTTAAATTGCAAACCTTCCCCCCAGTACTCCTGATCCCCTTTGCCCTGTTCACTTTTTTCCCCCTGGATCTCAGATTTTGGAAGGTGAGGAATTTACTCCATCAGAACACAGAAATGGACGCATAACTTGGTATTTCATCTCCTATGGGGATTGAAGGCCTGGGGTTCATACCTGTCTGCTGTTAGGAAAAATGGAGGGGCAGCTACAAGAGAAAATAAGAAAGTTCTAGAGCAGATCATCTCAGCTGTTGGCCCTTATTCCCAAATTAGTGGTCTTGGAGCACTCTACATAGTTTTACTCATTTATGAGACTCAGCTTACAAATAAAACATAAATCAATGCCATTTTTTCCTTCTTTTTATCAAAAAGCAAATGCCTTTCAGAAGAAGGTTCTGTCAGTGTCATCTCTCCTGTTATAGCCATTTATTTTCCTCCTCTAGCCAGTAGCACAGGTCAATCCTCTGTTCACAATGAAGATAGGGTGTCACCAGCATAAGTGCTATTTCGAGTCAGGGGACATTAGTTTTCAATGGATGGGTACCATTTCTATCCTGATTCCTGCTGACACAGGTTGGCTACTCTGGAAAGAAGATATTCTCCAGGGCTGAATTGGTGAGTTTTCTTTTTGATGAAGCTTATTAATCAATGTTTGGCATAAAACCAGGCAGCAAAGTATATCATAGAACTCACGAACAAGGCACATTGAAATGCCAGCTGCTAAGGTACTGGACTATTCTTCTCCAAAGTCAAGCTTTAAACTGCTCTAACACCCTTGTGTCTCTTTGCTCTTTGACTTTTAGGGATGTCCTTTGCTACTAGGAAGGACTTGGCATATGTGATATTTTCTGTTATTAGGTGGCAGTTCTGATGGGAGAAGGAACGGATGAATGATGATTATCATAGCTATGGGGGACACTGCACAACCTTTCAAAACCCCAATAGAGTAAGATGAAGGAAATGGGTTAGGTAGAAGTGCTCTGAAGGAAAGGGATGTGGGTTCGAGTCCCAGCGCCACTGCTTTCCAACCACTGGATCTTGGGCACGTTACTTAGCCATGCCCAGGCTCAGTGTTCTCATCTGGAGCTCGTGACACCAGCTGCACCCTCTGTGCTCACCGTGGTGATGCTTCAGCGAGGTCTGGCATGTGAAACTTGGAGCAGCGTCTGACAGAGTAAGTCCTCACAAATGATGCCATTGTCATCATTTCACCAAAATATGAAATGCTCCACATGACACATGATTATAGGCTCGCTGGTATTTGCTAAAAATAATAGATTACAAAACTGAGGAAACAAAGAGGGATGCTAAGGAAGCATATGACAGACATTACCCTTGCCAGAAGAGAAACAGCATGTGAGTGTCTGTGGAAGGCAGAGTTGTAAGGTGGTCCCCAAGGTGTCTGTGTCCTGGTGTACAGGTATCTTTTCCCAGTTATTTAATCGAACATGAATCTAGGTGCTATGAAGGGATTTTGGAGATGGAGTTAAGGTCCCACGTCCACTGATTTTAAGATGGGGAGATTATCCTTAGTGGATCAGATGAGCCCTTCAAAGGGATTGGGCTCACTCTGGAAGACAGTATGGAGATTCCTCAAAAAGTTAAAAATAGAACTATGCTACAACCCAGCAATTGCACTATTAGGTGTTTATCCAAAGGATACAAACAGTGATTTGAAAGGGCACGTGCACCCCAATGTTTATAGCAGCAATGTCCACAATAGCCAAACTGTGGAAAGAGCCCAGATGTCCATCAACAGATGAATGGATAAAGATGTAGTGTACACACACACACTCACACACACACACACACACACACACGGAATACTATTCAACCATCAAAAAGAATGAAATCTTGGCATTTGCAATGATGTGGATGGAACTAGAGGGTATCATGCTAAGTGAAATAAGTCAATCAGAGAAGGACAAATACATGATTTCATTCATATGTGGAATTTAAGAAACAAAGCAGATGAACATAGGGGAAGGGAAGGAAAAATAAGATGAAAACAGGAAGACAAACCATAAGAGGCTCTTAACTATAGGAAACAGACTAAGGGTTGCTGGAGGAGAGGTGGGTGGGAGGATGAGGTGACTGGGTGAGGGGCATTAAGGAGGGCACTGGATGGGATTAACACTGGGTGTTACACGCAGCTGATGAATCACTAAATTACCTCTGAAACAAAGCAAAACAAAACAAAACAAAAAAGGTGGGGAGATTATCCTTGGCGGATCAGATGAGCCCTTAGGGTTTCACATATTTGTTCCAAAAATGATAAAAATGAGCTTTCCTAAGCCTTCCATCTAAACTTCAGCAATAGCTGTCTCTGGTTCTGTTTTTTTCTGAGAATTGGGGGTAAAAAGGCCGAGTCCTTAGAGCAGCCCATGAACAACACGTACAGAAGGTTAGTACCTGCATGCCCACGGGACTGTGAAAGATGGAAAGATGGTGATCTTCTGCAGTTCAGAATTCCGTGCCCGCTGGTGATGAGTGTGACACCCTGAAGTTTCACGTGTCTGAAGATAACGTTTGCTTTTTGCCTGATACTAGTGCATCAGCGCACTTCTTAGGCAGCGCTCAGCTCCCAAGGTAATACAGTCAGAGCTTTTACAAGTTTCCTCATGCTGTATTTAATACTTGCCATGAAAGGTGGAAGTGAATGCCACTGTTTGCACATGTCATCTCAACAATAAATGAGTGGGAATGTACTTAGGCAGACCTCCTCTTCCGTGGTGCGAATGACCATGGAGCGTGAAGAAAATGCTGCGGGCTTTCTCCAAAATGACTTGTTTGCCAGTTAAAATCTGCAAGAATTTCCTTCCATGGAATGAGAAGGCACAAATAACAACAGGAACCAATGTGCAGAGCTAGGGATTTCTTTGGATTAATGCTATTATCTCAGCAGACGATCAATTCTTTGTGGAATAAGGACAATGAACAGTCACAGAGGCCTTTCTCTTTTTCATCTGCTAAATGCTATCTCGACTCATTTGATTCTCTTCCCTGAAGTGAGTCACTTTGCTGCTTAAAATAATTAACTGAGAATTAGGAGGTGAAGTGTGAAAGAAATGGTGCTGGGGCTTTACAAGAGAGGCAGGGAAGGGTAATGTTTACAGGAGTGGGCTCTGAAGTCACATGACTTGGTGGTCAACCATGGACTCTGCCATTTGTAGCCATGTGATCCAGGATTAATTAAAAAATCCATTTCAGTTTCCTCATTGTTAAATGTGCTGCTTGAAGACGAAATAAGATAGGTGCCAAGCATCCAGCATTTTGTCTACCACAGAGTAAAAGCTCAATAAATGGTGGGTATTATTAACATTATCTATCAATACTTCACGTCCGGTTCCCCTTCCTGCTTGTGTCCTCCCCAGTCTTCATTAGTGACAGGGTTCCTTCTCCCAGGCCTGACCCTGCTCCTCTCCTGCTGAAGATACTGGAAGGCTCTCCAAGGTCTGGACCAGTGGTGTCGAATCCTTTATCCCCTTTGAGAATGCGATGGAAACCCACCACAGAAAATGTAAACACACACACACTTTACATATAATTTGGCTATTTGCCACTTACTCCGTTTGCAACATGGCAGCCTGTAAACAAGACTGGAATACTGGACAGAAGCCTTTGGTCTGTAGAATCTATTCCCAACTCTTCATAAGAAGCCCCCAGTGCACTTTTCCAGGTTTTCTTCCTAGGCACTGTCAATTTCCAACATGCACCCCTGGCTTCCGCCCTACCAGCTCACCCATCCTTCCCAAGGGTACCGTACATCATCACTGCATTTAACCATGCTACTCTCTGGGATCGCACACCCCATTTTTCTGTCTTCTTCCTTCTCCTCCTTCCAGTCTCCACTCAAATGTTTTATGTATGAACACTTTAAGTTTTATAGAAGAATTAATCCCTTCCTCCCTGTGGGTACATATCATAACACAGTGCACTGTAATACAGTGTTTGTTGTGTATTCATTTCCTCTTCTGAGATTATAAACCATTCGAAGAAAGAGACCATCCTGTGCGTTTTGATGTCTCTCACTTTAGTTAGCACAGTACCAGGCATGGGGAAGGTGTTCAAAAACATTTTTTTTGTCAATAAATATATGAAAATATTCAGCCTTACTGGTAAGCTGAAGAAACACTTACAATACGACTTTTTTTTTCATCTGCCAGATTTGGCAAAAATAAATCAAATGCTGGCAAGTGTCTGGGAGACGGTGACATTCTTTAGCACTGTTGGGGGCAGGATGTAAATTGGTATAAATTTTCTAGGAGAAAATTTCATAAGATATGTCAAGCCTTTTAGTTATGTTCATGCCAAACGACCATTTCTAGAAACCCAGTTTAAGGAAACA